TGATCTCAAACGTACGGCGCGCTCTCTTCATTTTATCAAATGATCATAATCACATCTATTAATTTTACAATCCTGCTACTAGCATTTTATTCAGACTAAAACCCCTTTAATTCGGGTGAGAAAGCAGGGTTTTTTTTGAGTGGCTGTTGCACATCCTGTCATGCCGGTGACTGCGTGCTGCTGCAATAGACGCATTTTGCTGCATTAAAGTTAACGATTAATCGATTAATTGATCGTTAATTTAAACGACGATCGATCATAGAAATTATCGAAAATTGACATCCCTAGTCCCTATAGAACTGTTTTAGACCCTGCTCTGAAGTAGGAGCTAATTTAGTTCCTCCAAATGGAGTTCCTAGAACTAAAACCGTTACTAGTTCCTGCGGTGCGAACGCGCCAAAAAGTGGGTAGTTCCACAATTAGTTCAGGTACTATGAAAAGGTTCCCGCGGTGTGAAAGGCCCTATTATCAACCTCTAAAACACACATATGCCTCATCATATCTATTAGGGGAGGTATGACCAAACACTTATATCATGTTATGAGTAACTTCACAGTTAGTAACAAAAAAAATAAAAAACATTTATATTTGCTGGAACAAAATTAAAATCGCTTTAGATCAGAGTTATTATCATTAACTAAAACTAAATAACTAATAAAATAAACATTAACTGAAATAAAATAAAAAAGGCTAACTTGTATTATGTTGCCACTTATTTTAAGTTACATTTCTTATTTTTGTTTAGTTTAAGTTGAAGTACTAAAATAAACTAAATAAACTAAAACTACTTCAACATTAAAACAATGAATAATAATACGAATTCCAAAAACACACAACAAAATTACTAAAACTAAAATGAAAGCATAAAATATACAAATTAAATCTACTTCAAAATATTAACAAAAACAATAATGGTATATCAATGATACTAAGATAACACTGGATTATATAATAATAATAATAATAAGGTGGTAAAGCATATTTTTGAATAATTCAGAGAATTAAATATTTTACATGTATTTTTTCTTTTAGTCTGAAACTATATGGACAAAAACTTAAAGCTCAGATTGTTGAAGATAAATGAACGATACATTTGTACTATTACATAGAACCGTATATTCCTAACGTTTAGCAAAATAACTTACTTGGTTATCAAGTGTCTCAGCAACATTATCCTCGACAAAGTACATCCCAGATTTTCCTGCAAACCCGTAAAACAAGGCAGATCATTTTAGCAGTCAGTAGATGACGGTTAACAGCCAACACAAGACTGATGTTATGGAGGGTGAACGAGTCTTACCCAGCAACAGCTCTCCTGCCGTCTCTCTAGAGGGCGCCACACTTACACACTTTCTCGTAAACCTAAATATAAAAAAAAAAAATGTTTCGGGTTTTTAAATGATTTGAAATTCTGCAATGTGACTCCGAAACAGACTAGTTACTAGCTGTGCAGTATCAGTACCTGATGGGCTCACTGGTGGCTTTGTCTTTCACTATGGATGAAGAGGAGTGAGTTTTGTCCTCAAACAGGAAGGCCAGAGGAGCCTTGATGGCATCTGTGACAGACAAACCACATGCATGAGACAAATAACATCAACAGCATCAAAAGTGGACGAGTTTCTAAGTTCTGGCAAAGTTCCATCATTCCAGCAACCACTTCCTGTACAGGCAGTACAGCGGTGGTATCATGGTGATGGCATCAGATGGCAACACCAAGTTACTGCACGATTAACATATTCATATACTATTCTGATTATCACTTAACTGTCACCCGTCCCCTCAGTGGGATGCCTAAGTTTACTTCACTATATTACAAATAAATCCTAATCTAATTATGACAAATGGAAAGGTCTAATACTCCTAAATGGATATTTTACCACTGTTATTTGTTACAAATTATGTAGGAACAATAATAGATTCATTTATGACAATAGTGCACCTCAAAATCTACATCATAACAGGAGTTCTGACCTTTATCACAAAAAGTGTTTTTCCGTTTACATTTTAGAAATCATCATAAATTATATTGATTGTATTAGTCTGACGAGAGGGGAGGGGCCGAGAACCGTAGGAACGGAGCGAGGCCGGTGGAGTAAATGCTAATGCGTGACACCTGCGCCACTCACCGGTCTCGAGTCCCATGGAGGAGCTCCGGAAGGATAAAAGGAGGAGTGACGACAGTGTTGGATGAGAGAGGACCAGGCCTGGATTTTATTTTGTGTTTTGTGTGCGGCAGTCATCCGGGAGGGGCTGCCGCTTTACTTTCCTTTTGTGTTTGTTTATTTTATTGAAGTGTTTGAATGCTCGCCGGTTCCTGCCTCCTTCTTCTCGATCATTGACTTTGTTACATACAGGTTTTGGTACTTTTGTGTCAGTGTTATACTCGTTTGATCATCTAGAAAGCACATCCAGATCACATCCCGAAATGTAAAAAAGTAAAATTGTATTTATTTATTTATTTGTTTACTTTATTCATTTACTTGTTCACTTACTTTTTCATTTGTTTGTTTACTAATAAATCTACATATTATTTTACTTATTTACTCAGTAATTTATTTATTTACTTAGTAATTTATGTATTTAATTATTTTGATTACCTATATACTTGTTCATTTCACTTAATTACTTATTAAATGTAGTTTTTTTTACTTAGTTTATTTATTTACTTAGTAACTGACTTCCTTTTACTTATATTTACTTCCATTTACGTACTTATCTTGGGATGAAAAATGCCATGTTCTTGAAAGATTTGTTTATGCTTTGAGTAAATAAACTGCACCATGAAAATGCATTGTAGATAATCTAGAAAACAGAAAGTGTTGAGTAGATGTTTGAAGTGCTTTCTCCAGTCAGAGTGCTTGAAGCTCACCGTCTAGTTTGCGTCGGTCTTTCAGCAGATATTTGTTAGGGATGGTCAGGTAGCAGCGCTGCAGGCGTCTCCGCTCTCGGTTGGGCCCCTCGGTGGGATCCAGCTGCCAGGAAGTGGGGTAAGATAACTGATCATACCACACCGCCCTGTTCCATGGGGAAAAACAACATCACATGGTGATGAGGATGAGTAAATGATGACATGAGCGAACTATTTTAGTTAGGGGTGTAACGGATCCATGATCCGTACGGACCAACCCCCACGGTTCGGCACGCATGTGATTCGCGGACTAACTGTAAAGTTTAACCATCTTAGAGTGAAAGTTTATCATTTGCACATGTTTTGTTTCGCCAATTTACACATTCAAGCAATTTCAGACCATTCATGTGAAAGAGAAGTCGAATCGGATTTGCGTGCCATTTTCTCTGCGCACATGCAGAGAGAGAGAGGCGCGATTCAGACAGCATGTCAACAGATACATACACACAAAGTTATGTTAAAATACCTGTTTTGGCAAGTATTCTGGTAAACACAGTCGGTTGTGTCTTAAGTGAACGTAAACAGCTGTGAAAGAAACCGGATGTTTGTCAATATTAGGTCCGCGAATTTGGTCTTAAAGAGACAGCAGCCTATAAATACCTGCTTCTCTCTGCTAATCAAACAACACCACAGCATTAACAGAGATTAATCAGTATTTAATGTATGCAGTGAGCATTATTGTGTTGTTTTACACTTAATTATTACATTTCTGCACCTGAATATTACTGTTACTAACTTTATGCTGTATTCATCTATGCTTGTAATTTGTGTAACTGTTCTTGTTTTATTACTGACTTTATTAGTTAAGCTAGTAGTTTCTGCTGGGGTATAGAAGTACTTAAAGTAAGCTTTTAGTAATAAATGAAAAGCAAACTTTTCAAACTCCAAAAAATGATCCGATCTGGGACTCAAAATCTATAGTATGATCCGAACCATGGGTTTTGTGATCCGTTGCACCACTAATTTTAGCTGTATCGCTCCAGTGAGCGATGCTGACCGGTCGTGAGTGAGCTGCTGCACGAGCTCCTGCCAGTGGCGGCTGGCGCTCAAGTCGGTCTTGTAAAGGCCTCTGATGTGCTGCATGACCTTCTTCCGCTCCATGCCCTGCCTGAGAGACACGTTCTGGGTGACGTCAGCGGCAATCTTCGAGATGTCCTTCGACTTCCCATCCAGCCTCTGCAACAAGCTGCAATAGAGAACGGAAGAGCTTAGAAAAACGCCTAAGAAGCGTGTTATTTTGAGATGTTGTGTTTCTCTCAGAGCGCTCACCTCCTCTGCGTGTTGGCCAGCTTCTTTTCCCAGGCTCCTTTGCTGGTTCTTGCCTCTGACTCGTATTTCAGTTGCTCCTTAATAAGGAATAGTAAAACGGCTTCAGTTGAACATTAATAAAATGCAAACACATCAGCTGAGCAGTTTTGAACTACAGACTATTTAAAAGTAGTCATATTACTAGCATTCACAATACTACAATAAACTGCAAAAAAAAAAAAAGGGCTCATGCAAACCTGGACTATTATTATACGCAGACCTCAGGGGGAAAATAAAATGCTACAAAAGTGCAGAATATGACCTTTATTACTCGAGAAACCAGTGCAATCAATCTCAGCAAATAAAAGACTAACAAATAAATATATGAATTACTATGCATTTGCTCTAGTTTTGCAAATATTTACATTTACATTTATATTTAGGCCTAAATTTAAAATGTATGTATTTAAATTGCATATAAAATTTCCATCCGTTTGGATTACACAGATTTAACATAAATTAATAAATTTAATGTGATGCATATTTGTCAGTCATATATAAATGAAGCAGGTCAGATTTCTGTAATGGTACTAATAAACTTTTTTTTTAAATACACAATAACCAAGTTTACATATTTATTATCAAATGTTCCACAGATATTTTAACCATGCTCATGCTTTTTAACTGAATATATTTAATTGTTTTCACAATAAACAGATTTATGCTGATTCTAAGCAATATGAAAAAACACATTTTGAAAAAATTCTTATTTAAATAAAACCAAATAGATGCAAACAGTTAATAATAAACTATGCAAAGATTTTTTAAATGCATGTTCCATTTATGAATGACTGAAAAATATGAATCACATTAAGTTAGACTGTTCATGTTAAAACTTTGAATAGCATATAAAATCGCAAGTACATTGCATTGAAGTTCATGCATTCCCTGTGAATCAAGCACACATTCTCCCTACACTGTTTGAGCTTGTTTAAGCAACACAGCATATAACCTGATGGTTTGTGTCAGGTCATGCGCACCTCTTTGATGGCTTTGAGGAGGTCTGGTTTGGCGGGAGCGCTGGGTGGGATGCAGCGGTGGCCGCAGAGTTTCAGCGCCGTCATAAAGGTGTTGGCAGCCGCCTGTTCTTCTTTGCTCAGGGCGTCTTTGTGATCGTGTAACAGCTCGTACAGATACAGAGCCAGCTTGGGCCCGTGCTAATAACAAAAACCACACCAACAGGATTAGTGGTATTTATAATATATAAGCATCTCTGCTATTGGTCGCCCTCCACTGTAGATATCAGAACTGGCCATTAAAAAAAACATACTGACCAACAACATAAATTCATTTCTAAAACACATTTACAAACCCGATTTTGCTTTATTCAATAAAGCAAGCCCGATATTGCTTTCATTCAAATTTGCATTGATTGCAACAATAGGCATTTATGGTTGCAAAGTTTCACCACTATTTTGATACAGTACTGCAAGTTTGCATTGAAATGTATTTGTAAAAAATTATTTTTCATCCAGTAAGGATACAGTAATTAAAAGAAATGTCACTATTTGACCATTTAAATATTTTAATAAATATGTATATAAAGCATATTTAAACGCAAGTAATTTTAACATCCCGTAATTAAAATATACATGTATTGATCTTGCTGTTTTTTCAGTCTTCATGTTGTACATTACTTCTAAATTATGTAATAATTAGAAGTTTAAATTAAGTTGTGTCTTGAGATGTGTAATTGTTCATTTCTTTAACCAATAAAAAAAAAAGACTTGTTTTAAGAGTTTCTGATTTAACCTTCAATAGCAAACATGGTTAGTTGGAAAGTTGGATTAATTTTCATGAACCAAATACAGTATTATATCACTGAGAAAATAATGACAGGCCAAAAAATACCTTAAAAAAAAAAAACTGATTTTTGTACCATTCATTGAATAGACCCCTTGCAAACATTTCTGTAATGCTTAGAAAATGGTCTCAAATTTGTTAAAAATACTTGATCCAAAAGTGTTCTGTGTGACTATTTTTTCCATTTTGTGTTAGTTCATTCATCCCTTCAGCAAGCTGTGCCCATTAATATCAAATTTTTTCCCCACCAAAACTTTTGTTCTGACAAACTTCAGAGTGTCAGCTACTGTTTTGTGTAGTTTTTACCCACATTTAGTCAAAATGAGGTGTTAGTTAATTGCTTTATGCAAACGCTGCAATTCTGCTACGCTGGGTCTCTGAGGGTTAATGGTCTTTTCAGTGCCAGTCTACAGTATAATGGAGAAAGCAGCGCTGGAGAGGACAGCACTGCTGCTATGGAAACAGTATCATGAAGATGTTTCTGTGGGTTATTTACTATATGTCAGCAGCAGCGCAATGAAATGTCACTGTCTTCCTCCCAACAGAGGAAGTGTGCATGTGAGCTGTGCTTTGATTGGATACACAAATCTGATAACTGTCAGCAAATAACCAAAGCAAAATGTCACACCGTCTCTGGTTGGCATGTAAAAACAAAAAGCCATTTCTGTCAACATATCAGCTTGTCAGACGGCAGCATCCTCACCTCGAGGCCGGGACTCAGGCTTTCTCTGAGGATCTCGGAGTAGCTCTGCTCGTGGACAAACTCTAGTGCCTCCTTCCTGTCCTCCAGAGGAACTGCGGGGCTGAGCATGTGCACCAGCATGCGGCCGATCTGAACCCTGAACGTGTCGCGACAGGACCAGAGGATTCGCTTCCACTGCTGGCGAGGAGCACCACCACGACTGGTGCTGCCCTGAGGAGATGAACCATCACAAAAAACATGTGACACTGAAGCATCGAGAGAGACATAACGTTAACATATAACTACACATTTATCACATGCTCAAGTGTTGTGCATTTTTATTTGTCCATTAGGTATCGCAAAGGGAATGCATTTCAATAGACAAATGGCTACTATCAAAAATGTAAACAAAAACCATAAGAAAAATAAAATATTTATATATAAAAAAAAAACTTCAAGTTATTTTATTTCAGCTAGTTGTCAAGACAATATTTCTCTTTTTCTTTTGAATGAAGTTGAAGAACTAAAATAACAAACTAAAAACTAAAACAATAAAAACTATAGACAAATAAAAAAAAAACATAAAAATTACAAAAACACAACAAAATTACTAAAACTTTAACTAAATTAAAATGAAAACAGAAGATTCAAAATATGAACAAAACTATAATAGTATACCAATTATACTAAAATAACACTTTAATAGACTAGTTTCACAGTCTTTTCTTGTCTCAAGATTTACAGGTACAAGAGTATTAAGATGTTTAATATGTTTTATTAGCGTTTTCTGGGATAGTTGGGAAGTTTGATTCATTGTCATGAAACACTTTGAAATCCCCATTTACAGGAATGTTTACGAAAATCTTTCATGGCCTTTTTTGTAATTTAGTATTTATTTTTTTTATTTATACATGCAAATATTGCTGTTTATTAATATTAGGGATGTCAATATATTTAAATTGACAATTTAAAAACATAATTTAATAAAATACACAATGCACTAATTAATCAAATTAATCATAAATAATCAAATATAACAATATTTGCTGAGAAAAGCCCCAAAATGAAGACAATTCAAAGATAATTTTGGACACTTCAAATTTTTTATGTCTCTGGAATAATGTGTATTGAATCAAACAAATAAAACCAGTAACAAACAAAAAAAGGGTCACTTGAATTTTAATGCTGATGTCTACTTTAAGCGACTCACCAAGGCTATCTTTATGCCCTCCATCATTAGTTTGAGAATATCTTTGCAGAAGATCTTCATGTTGCCCGGTGGGATCGGGGTGGACGGCGTGGAGCCGTTCTCATCGGTCGTCTGCTCGCCAGGTAACGGCATGGACATCGAGTGATCAGGAGACTCGGGAAAGTTCAGGAAGTCAAAGAAATCCTGGCTGATGTCTGGAGAATACAGACAAATAGTAAGCATGGAACAAATGCATTCAGTCTACATGGACTGTCTCTTGTTATCACTAAGAAAAAGTACCATGCTAGACTGCCTATACTTTCAGAAGCATGTAAATTGCATTGAAGTGTTTTGTAATGGCTGCACAAAGCCGATGATAATGTTTATGAGCAGATATTATCACACATCACTTCTGTACCTTGATAGATGAGTCTGTTAACAGCCAGAACCACGAGTCTCTGCAGTCTCTGGACCAGCTCAGTCTCGCTGGCTCTGATGGGGTTTTCTTGACTCATCCTGCGCTGCATCATCTGGTTAAGCTCATCGCTGGCCACCGAGCGCATTCGCGTCAGCAGCGAGTCTGACTGGGCCACCGTGAACCGCCTCCGACCTGATAAAAACACACAACAACATGCTTACTGAACTAAAGGAACCGTTCGTAAAGAGCAGAGGATCAGAAATCACACAAACACATAGGGATCAAGAGACAGACAGACAGACAGATGCAGATATTAACATCCGCCTTAAGTGATGATTAAGTGGTTAGCCTAGGCAGGTTGTCATTTACACCTGAAATCCAACATGCATCCTAGTACAGTTTTTTGAAAGAAGTCTCTTCTGCTCATCAAAGCTGCAAATATTTGAGCAAAAATACAGTAAAATTGTAAAAAATTACATTTTAAAATAGCTGTTTTCTATGTGAATAGATGTTAAACTGTAATTTATTGCTGTGATCAAAGCTGTATTTTCAGCAACACTACTCCAGTCTTCAGTGTCACATGATCTTCAGAAATCATTCTAATATGCTGATTTGCTGCTCAAGAAACATTTCTGATTATTATCAATGTTGAAAACTGTTGTGCTGCCCAATATTTTCGTGGATACATTTTATTTCTCAGGTTTCTTTGATGAATCGAAAGTTCAAAAGAGCATCATTTATTTGAAATAGAAATCTTTTGTAACATTATAAATGTCTTTACTGTCACTTTTGATTAACTGAATGCGTCTTTGCTGAATCAAAGTATTAATTTCTTTTTGAAAAAAGATGAATGTTAAAGGCAGGTGTAAATGAGACAGAGTGTGAATGATAAATCAACAGACGGAGTTGCAGGGAAAGTCTTCGAGTCCTGGTGCAACTCTGAGTTGATTTATTCTGGGTAATTGAGGATAACACACACAGGCACCAGTAGTCCAGGACACTGGGCGGATGAGCAGCAGACACGCTTTAATAACTTCACTGCACGCGCATAACATCCTTAAGAGAGCCAGGATGTTGTGGCCTGTTTTTTTTGTTTTGTTTTGCAGATGGGGTCGATGGCTACCTGCATCTGAGGGGAACATGTAGGAGTTTGCGCTGGTAGGGGAGGGGAGGGGGGAATCCTGGGACAGGAAGCTGAACGGGGAGGGCAGAGGAATCAGTCCGTACGAACAGTAGTGCTGCCGGGGAATACGGGGAATTATGGAGTCTTTCAGCCCCATTGAACCTTGGGAGTGTGAGGGGAGGTGATAATACAACAGAAACACATGAAAGGTGAAGTGTAACATCCAGGGCTGATGGTTAAGACAAGATGAATGGAGATGAAACACATAACAAATGTATACAGATATACCTATCTTTTGTCTGTTTATAGTCTCTTTGTGTGTACATATTCAAATTTACCAACAAAAATCAGTCCTAAAAGATACAGGAAAGAGGCTAAATGTGACCCTGGAGCACAAAAGCAGTCTTAAGTCGCTGGGGTATATTTGTAGCAATAGACAAAAATACATTGTATGGGTCAAAATTATTGATTTTTCTTTTATGCCAAAAATCATTAGGATATTAAGTAAAGATCATGTTCCATGAAGATATTTTGTAAATGTCCTACTGTAAATATATTAAAACTTAATTTTTGATTAGTAATAAGCATTGCTAAGAACTTCATTTGGACAACTTTAAAGGCGATTTTCTCAATATTTTGATTTTGTTGCACCCTCAGATTCCAGATTTTCAATAGTTGTATCTCGGCCAAATTTTGTCATATCCTAACAAACCATACATCAATGGAAGCTTATTTATTCAGCTTTCAGATAATGTATAAATCTCAATTTCGAAAAATTGACCCTTATGACTGGTTTTGTGCTCCAGGGTCACAAATGTGGTTTTACAGAAGTAATTTGAGACAAATCTAACTAATAGATGTAAAAACACACATACACAAAAAAACAAACAAATAAATTATTAATAATAATAATAATAATACTTTCATGTGTAAAGCCACAGTTCACTTTTGGGTCAAAACTGGTTAACCATCAAAACACACATACATCATTTAAAACAAAAATATAGCATAAAATTTAATAAAACTATAATAATAAAAATAATAAAAAGTGTAATAAAATATATAAAAATACTTTTGAATGAAAAAGAAAAAAAAAACTTTTGAATGAATTTCAGCTAGTTTACAAAGAAACATTTCTCAATTAAAATAATAAAAAAATCAAAATCAAATATAAATGAATAAAAACTATGTAGATACATATAGAGCTAATAAAAATGACAAATGCACAACAAAAATACTAAGCCTTAAATGAAAATGCAAAAAAAGAGAAAAGCTAATTCTAAATATCAATAAAAACTGTAATAGTATATTAATGATACACTGACCAACATGAGGGTGAGTAAATGATGACAAAAGTTTCATTTTAGGGTGAACTATGCTTTTAAAGATACTTCAATAACCTGAACCATCACATAAACAAGACAAATACCATCCCCTTTGACCTCCAGACCTGCTCACCTGCGATACTCTTGCGTTTCTGCTGTAGAGCGTGATGCGGTGAAGTAGGCACGTGAACGTAGCTGCTGGATTTCTGAGGGTCCTGATTGGCTGTGGTCTTAATGAAATCGATGGCTGCCTGGATCAAACGGAACTGCAGTGCTGTGGCCATTTCTGAAGCGACAACAGAGAACCGATTTCGTTTGAATGACACGTCACATATCATTGTAGTATAAAAGTATTAGTCTTCTTTACCCTGTGTGCGCCGAACTTTGCTGGTCTGCATGTAGCCCAACAGGGTGATCAGGTCTTCAATGATGCGGAAGTACTGAGATCCTGAGGAGCTGCAGGAGTGGATGGTGACGGCCACCAGCAGCTGCTGAATGTCACACACCACCAGCTTGTAGTCATTCGGAGGAATCCTACAGAGCAACAGCATCATGTAGCCTGGAAAACTACAGTTTCAAAGTAGTTTCCCCAACACTAGCTGCGTTTACATGGCCCCTACTAATCCGATCGTAATAGGACTAGAAGCACAATTTAGACCCGAAGTAGATAAATACCAAGTGTGCTTTTTAAAACTATATGCGACAACAGCGGGAAACTCTGTATATTCATGCAGTGTGCGCATGTCAAAAGATTAAAGGATTACTCCACTTCCAGAATAAAAATTTCCTGATAATTTACTCATCCCCATGTCATCCAAGATCTTCATGTCTTTCTTTCTTCAGTCGCAAAGAAATTAAGCTTTTGGAGGAAAACATTCCAATATTTCCATCCATATAGTGGACTTCAATGGTGCTCAATGGATTGAAGGTTAAAAATGCAGTTTCAGTGCAACTTCAAAGAGCTCTAAATGTTCCCAGCCGTGGAATAAGGGTCCTACATATATATAATTGTCCTACATCGCTGTTTTACCTTTTTTTGTATAGGGCGTTTGACCTTCTTTGCATGTTCACTTTGTAAACACTGTACTTCTGCAGGGATGTAGGACGATTTTGAAGTTGGAGGAAAAAATGAGATGGGATTTTTTTTCGACCTACCCTAACTGTTTCGAACCGGAGTGCACAGAGTACGCATGCGCATCGCAGAGCTAGACAAGACGAGCATTTGGGGTTAAAAAGTATATAAAGGTTATATACAGGTTTTTTTTTTTAAATAACGGATCGTTTCGCTAGATAAGACCCTTATTCCTCGGCTGGGAACGTTTAGAGCCCTTTGAAGCTGCACTGAAACTGCATTTTTAACCTTCAATCCGTTGAGCACCATTGAAGTCCATTATATGTGACCCTGGAGCACAAAACCAGTCTTAAGTCCCTGGGGTATATTTGTAGCAATAGTCAAAAATTCATTGTATGGGTCAAAATTATTGATTTTGTTTTGTTTTGTTTTGTGGTCCAGGGTCACATATGAAGAAAAATCCTGGAATGGTTTCCTCAAAAAAACTTAATTTCTTTGCGACTGAAGAAAGAAAGACATGAACATCTTGAATGACACGGGGGTGAGTAAATTATCAGGAAATTTTTATTCTGGAAGTGGAGTATTCCTTTAAATCCGATCAGAAGCTTGTGACATATAAACATGCATATCAACCCGATCACTTTATTTAGCATTCATGTAAACACTACGTTCAGATTCGTCAATCAGAATGAATTCATTCCGATGGAAGCAAAAAGTGTCCACGTAAACGTAGCTACTGACGTCAAATACGGTGCATTACCCGTTCTCCAGGCCGTTGAGGGTGGACAGCGTGTTGAAGAGCACGTAGAGCAAGCCGTGGTCCAGCAGGATGTCAGCCAGCTTCGGGCAGGCGTTGAGCAGCTGCAGCAGCAGACACAGGCCGTTGTGCACGAGTGAGTTCTCGTACAGAGAGTTCTCCAGCAGACCCAGCACAGGGATGATACAGCGCTTCCTGAACGGGGAGATGCTCTCCATATCCTCCAGATCCAGACTGAGAGAAGAGAGCAATATTTGCTGTCATTGATAAGGATGCTGCTGGGTAAAGTTTCATTCAGTAGACATCATGCAGAAGGTTCTTGAATGCGTTTCCTCACAAATATTTATTGCAGTAACACGAAATGTAAAAAAAAAAAAAGGTAAATGTGTCTTCACAACTGAAATACAAATTAAATAAGCACACATACACATTTTAACATTATATAATTTCAAATGAATAATAACTGTTTACTATTGTCTTTTTAGAGCTGCTTTACAGCAGAATTTAATTTTGCTTGTATCACTGAATCACTATTTTCTTATTTAACACTGTAAAGCTGCTTTGAAACAATCTGTATTGCATAAAGCGCTATATAAATAAAGGTGACTTGACTACAATATATAGTATAAATATATGTTATTTTTGCATCCTTAATATACCATTATAGTATTTACTAATATTTTGAAATGTTTAATAATTGTTTGTTTTTGTTGTTATTAGTTTTTGTTTTCCAAAATATATTTATTTGTTTTTAGTATTTGTTATTTATTTTGTCATTTTAGTACTTCAACTTAAACTTAATGAAAATTAGAAATGTTGCCTTGGCAACTAACTAAAAAAAAAAGTTTTTATATTTTTATTTCAGGTAACAGTTATTTTATTTCTCTTAACACTTATCTGTTTGTTTATTTATCAAAATAAGAGGTATTTTTTTATTTCTACTTTTATTTATAAAATTATTATTTTTAAATAATCGTATTAAAATGTAATACATTATTACAAATATCATCATATATATATATATATATATATATATACAATTATAATAATTTTAATAACAAACCGATAAACAAAATAAAAACAAAATAAAATAAAATAAAAAACAAAAAATATATAGCTGGTACATTTTCTCAATTCACCCTCCAAAACTCATGTCATCAGGCTATGAGCTCTCATGGTCACGTCTTCAGCTCTAGATTGTTGGTATACTCACTCTTCCTCGATCCCGACCGGTCGTCCGAACAGCATTTCCAGGAAACACTCCAGCAGACCCTGTGAACCCTGGTGCAGGTACAGCTGATTGGCCAGCAGTGAAAACCCATGATTCTTCAGGAACTTCTCCTTCTGCTCTTTCTGAGTGCGGCTAAAGTAGGCGTCCAGGAGCTACATGAATAAACGTACATATTTGTGTATCCATGCATGTATGACATATTACATAAAAAATAAATAAATTAAACCCATTACGCAACCTCCCCTCTTTACCAGAGTGGTCAATAAAACTTGTGAATCAACTAACAAACCATTTTCATATCAGCTTAAATAAACAAACCAAAGCAGCAGATGTGATAAACAGTTATGGATAGAGAGACAGTGAAAAGGCCAGTCATTTTATTGTCCTAAAGAAAACTGTTTGTATTATATTTTTTCATTTGTCCATAAACATTAAATTATCTACTCCTCTTGGGTTTAAATTTTTAGAAATTTCAAGGGGTCTTGAATTTATGTATTCTCCTAAAAATACGATTTGTAAAAAAAAAATAAAATAAATACTATTTTGTCATCACTAAATTAATTCTGTGAAGTGACTCACAAAATAAATTTTTAAATGGACTCCTGATTTTTTTTGCAATTAAGAACCCCCAAATAAGCAATTATTCATAATATTATTTAAATGTAATAATATATTTTTCAAATTAAGAAGAGGGAAAGTTTTAACTACTACTATTAAAGGGGTCATCAGATGCAAAATTCACTTTTACAAGTTGTTTGAACTTAAATGTGTGTGTACACAACGTGTAAACAACCACCCTATAATGATAAAAATCCACCCAGTGTTTTTTTTTAAATCCAGTCCCCCGATCTGCCTAAATGCGTCTATGTTCGCGCGAATCATTCGTGATTCAGCTTCACCTTCAGAAGAAGTGAGTATAAGTTTTTTTTAATGAATTTTGCAAATCGCCTTTCCTAATAATGTGCTAGTTAGCAAGTTTCACGATGAATGCAACTAAAGTTTACAGTCCCTCAAAGAGCGGCTCGGAAGAGAGGGGCGGGGTCAGCAGGGCTCATTAACATTTAAAGGGAAATGCT